GCATCAACGCTGGACATCTTCGCCATTCCGAAAGGTCTCGGGCCAGGTATTCGCCATTGTAATGTCGCATGGCAAGCAGGTCGGAGCCTTCAGCTGATCCCCAAGAGCGCCCCTCGCGACCACGTCCCTGTCGTTCTTGAAATGCAGTATGAGCTCCCCATCCCGATACCTTTGGCACCGAAAGCACGATGGGACTTTCAGAAGCTTTCTACAGCACTTCAGACGGGCATTGGGGGAGAGGACTTCCATCATGACTTGGAGACAGCCATGTTGGCACAAGCAGATTATTTCAACGAGCGCACCACGCGCCACCAGCACACCGATGACTTCTACGACAGGTGGGCGGAGATTGTACAGCAGATTGGCCTTCAACATTTCGCACTGGAAAACAAGTCTACCGACGCAGCGGAACACCGGCTACAGCAAGAACGAGTCTCCCTGGTCAAACAACGCAAGATTCACCGACTCGAGGCAGCAGAGCATTGGAACACATATGGACACCTTCCTGATTTTACTGATGATTACCTTGATGTATTGGCCAAGATCAAGCTCATCTCAGGCCAACTCCGACGCTGGGCTCGTCGGCGTCGAGCGGCACACCGCGAACGCCTCCATCAAGAGTTGCGCGAGGCACGAGCTCTGGGCCAGCAGGCTGAAGTTCACAAGCTTGCACGCCTACTTTCTGGACGATCAACAGGTGTGAAGAACCGACGTTACAATGCCATTTCTTCTTACAGGCCGTCGTTGGACGAACTGAAAGGACATCTCGCACGACGCGGATCTGACGGTGGCATGGAAGCGACGCATATTCCCGATTCGAATCTCATGCTTCGCGACTTCCTTTCGGAGGAACCATCCATCATCAAGCGTCGCAGCCCTGGCATGGAGATCACCGCCTCTGTCATGGCCCGACAAATGATTTGGAAGCTAAGACGAGCTCGTGGCCGACGCTGCGGGCCGAAGTGGAGTGTACCATCGGAACTGGCATTGATAGTACTTGCACCTGGACATCTTTCGAAGCAGCGCTATTCCAAGTTCGGCCTGGGGCACGGCGTCACCTCTGTCCATCACGACGCACCAGATGAGCGACCAGGTTTGGGCCATCAACGGCAGGCTTCGCCGCCGACCGTCGCCACGACCCCTTGCTGGATACCCCAGGCCCAGGACAAACAACACCGGGACCAGGCCTCCAGGGTCTGCGGACCACCACCCTCGAGCCAGCACCGACTGGAGAGCACAGCCCAAGAGGCAACAGGTGGCGAGATCAACCTCGGAGCCAGAGATCCCCTCCTCCCTCGCGAGAGTGGCTATGATGAAAATGACCTGAGCAATTCGGGGGCTGATGGGCCACCTCTACGCTGGACCACCGCCGACGAGAATGACGCCGACCCTTTCGCCGAGATTGACAACCTCGATTTCGACATTCACGCAGCGATATCGGAAGTGCCAGATGAGCAACCTCCCCCTCCTGAACCTCGGGCGCGGTAGCCAGCTACGCTCCACTCGGGACGAGAAGCCTCAGAAGACCAACGAGCCCCTGATGGACGTGAACACATCTTGGCCACAACAGCTGAGATGGCGAGAGCACGCCTGGAGTTTGAAAATATTCTGATTCGGTCCTTCGAGGTGGGGCAGCTTCCCACCAAGTCTAGCATCGCTGAGGGGATCCTTCTTGACAAGTCTAACGGCAAGTCTAACATGTTTAGCCAGAGGATAGTACATTTATCAGATGTGTTTTGGAAATATTGGTATTCCGTACTATACAGCTGGGGGGATAAAGATGAGGCATATGACGAATCGTTTTCGGGGCGATGGCATGGGTTTCTGAAGTATCGGAGGAGGGATGGGGGCCATACTAGTACAACTACGACTAAGCTGGTCTCTGCGAAAAGCCAGGATCCCCCATGTATGCGAGCTTCACGACATGACGAACGCTTTCTTGTGTCCATCCACTGAGGATCTTTTAACCCATACCTCCGAGGTAATGACGCGCGAGGATCTACAGGACTTCGCGAAGCAGCGCCTGATCAACAGCGTGGTTTTAATTGAAGTAGATAACAAGCCTGAAGCACTTCTCAGTAAGAGTGGGGGGCTCCAAGGGTCATGTGAGGCACCTCGACAATTCGTCGGCGTCTTCGACCAGTGCTATGACGAAATCCTCGAGCTCGACGGGGCTCCCATATATCTGTCAGGAGTTTTTGGCAACTCGGCTTTAGACTGTTCAATGGTAGGTTTTGCAGATGATTTATTTCGGCGACGCATTCTAGAAGATCCCTCGGCGTCTGGGGCTCTAGAGGCAATCCGAGAAGGCGGCTCGAAGATGAACCAGGTCCTGGAGACATGGCGTTTTCAGCAGAATATGCAGAAGAAAGACATCATACCCTGTCTGGGATCCACAAGGGAAAACCGTCGCCTTCAGGAGATTTGCCCTGAGTCCTGTGGCACCGTGCGCAGTCACGCTAGGCATCTGGGAGCTCGACATCATATGAACGGCTCCAATGCTCCAGAGGTACAGTGCAGAATCCGCTCCATGCACGCGGGCTGGTCTGTCATAGGTTTATTTTGGCACGAGCGTGGGTTGCATCGACTTAAGCGCGAGCTCTTTCTTGGCAAAGTCGTGGAAAGTGGCATCACGGGTCTTGAAGCATTTGTCCTTGAGCCAGCTGAATATCAGAAGATAGATTCCTGTACTGTAAGATACCTCAGAGTTCTATTGCGGGGTGCTGCCACTTCCTACGATGGGCCACACGTTCGCACACTTCGGAATTCAGAGGTGCTCTACAGATTTCGCATCCTCCCTGCTCGGGGGGAACTGGCGGTGCGCAGGATTCGGTGGCTTCAAGGCATGCTCACCCACCGTCGCGCCCACAGCCAAACGATTGCGGCGATATTCGGTCATTTACAGAAGGAGAGACAGACGCTGTTGCCAGACGGACAGCTCAGTATCGACGCGAATCCCTGGGCAAAAGAGTTTCATCGCAGTTTGTACCTTTACGAGGGGATCAGTGGGACCGAGAGTTTCTTCGAGGCTTGGGAGGCGGCTGGGTTTTCGTGGAAGGCCCCATTCGAACCTAACTCTGACTCTTTCCAGGGGTTTACGAATATCGACCCCTCGATCTTGAGAGCAGCAGCGTTCACGGATTACGACAAATGGTGTGCTCTATTTCCCGAAGTACATAACCCCGGAGCCAAAAGCGAACATGTATACACATGCATGATCACGGACCCCGAGGGAAACCCATGTGGCCTCCAGTTCGACACCTACAGGGCTCTCATGGGACACCAAACAACTGGACATAATATGAAATATATACTTCATAGTGGTGTTATTACGAATCAGTGCCCAAATTGTATGAGTATATTCAGAGATGTACACAATGCTCGCAAACATCTGACACATTCTTATGGGTATGGCCGCTGTTTAATGGGAAGAGCTCACATGTCTTGGGAACCCGAGCAGAAAGACGAATGGCCCTGTCCTCTATGCCCGAGTTCCGTAGTGTTTCCATCGAGCATCGATTACTTTCGACACCTGCAAGACGAGCATCTACCTAGACCCCTTTCCGACACCATTTTACCATGCCTGGCGTCCTGGCGGCACTGACTGGATCAGCGGCGGGCTCGGGCGGAGACGGGGGCCAGGGCCTTCGCGACGAGAGGAAGAAGGGCCGCATCGAGGGCGGCACGAAAGAGGAGTCCAAGCAGATCGCCGAGCAGATCCCCGACAAGCAGAAGAAGCTTTTCGCGCTCATGCTGAAGCAGATCCTCAGGCTCAGCCAGCAGTGTCGCGACATGTCAGGGGTCATCTTCGACACTCTCATCGTCCCGATGACGGTCGCATTCATTACGATGATGAGCGAACAGACCGTGGCCTACGCCGCCGAGACCAAGTCAAAGGGCAAAGAGCACACCCTCGGACCTCCACACATATACGCGATGGGCGGGCTCATCAAAGGACTTCTGACGTACGGCGACAGTCTCGGAGCCCAGAATCACACCGACCTCGCGACAGCATGGAAGGAGTACGACGGGTACTCAGTCGAGCAGAAGTGCGAGCTAATTCTGTTTTGCCGTCAGGACAAGGTCTTCCAGAAAGAACGTCGCAGGATCACCTTTGCCACCAGGGACGCGAAGTTCCGCCATGCTCTCTTGGCTTGCCTTTCTCAAGCGCCACATACGACACGCAAGTACGGCAGAGCCCCAGCATCATTCATGGAGCGGGAGATCCAGACCTTCTTGGAGGCCCTACTGAAGTGAATCAAGTACGAGCGGCTTTCAACTTACCTGAGATTGGTTCGAGCTCGGCATTGTCGAGCGTTTTGGCGACTGATTCTTATGATCCTGACGGCCGCTCTGACATCATTTTGGAAATACCCGATCTACGCAATGTTGTACGAGACACTCCCTCGAGACCGACGGGGGCCAGCTCAGCTTCGAGTTCGAGTAGGCCCGCGCCTGAGCCCTCACCCACTCCTGTGAGTCCTCCGCCTCCTCCCCCTCCTCCTCCTCGCACTGAAAAGCAGATAGTAACTGAATACTTGGCCTCTCGGGGGATCTACCCAGGGTCTCAGAGGTTTTCTGTTTTCGCTAGCAGTAGGAACATTCTTGACATTGCTAAGAAAGCAAGCGGTCAACCCTGAATTTCGCCTCGCCTCAGCCTCCTGTGGCTACCTTATGCGTCGGTGGCTGCAGGGGCCAGGACGGCCCCGTGCGGGGCCTTGTCTGCGGCCCTGGTGCGTAGAGCTTCGGCATCGGCACTCATTCCAAAGGGAAGGTTCACCGCGCCACGATGCCTCCAGTCAGTCTTGAATGTTCAGGGCCCACTGCTGCGCGATTTTGACACTGGGTGAGTACAGTACTCACTGGACTACCAGACAACATGGCGTTAAGGGTGTGCGTATCGTATCGTATCCTCCTCCTCCTCCGCCTCCTCCTCCTCCTCCTCCTCCTCCTCCCCGGGAGCGGGGAGCCCCGGGGCTGCGCGGGATCTGGCGGCCGAGGCCAAGGTGGTCGACACCCTGTCGCAGACCCTGCCCAGCGCGAGGGCCCTCGCGCCGAGTGTCCCGCCGCAGGCCCCCCCCCTGCGGGAGTCTGGTGGCGCGCGCGCTGGCGAGGAAGCACAGCCCAGGCCTTGGCATCGCTCGGACGTGTGCATTTTTCTGTCGGCAAGGGCAATCGAGGAGCATCCTTGATCATTTGGCGAAAAAGCCACGCACGAAACCGAAAAAAACACAGGGAATGGACGTCCGAGCGATGGCGAGAGGCATGATCGCGTCGTGAGCAAACTCCAGGGGAGGTTTTCGCTCCTTTTCGGCCTCTGGGGGCCCTTGCCAGGCCCCGCGGGGCCGTCAAAACACAAACCGGGGTACAAGCCAGGAGGCAGGGCGGGTCTCCACCCCGGGTCTCCGAGGAGACTCCTCCCGCTGTTTTTCCTGGATTTCGGCGATCGGGCCCAGGGGTCATCAAGCATTGATGCGGGACGAAAGCCACCCCTGGGGAAGGGGTCGGGAGATCCCGGGGCCACGGACTGACAAGATCTGCTCCGCGGATGCCGGGGCGAAACACAGAGTTGCCTGCGGTACGAAATTGGTTCTGGGGATGGGGTCGAGGGCTCCGGGGCCCACGCGTGCTGCAACAATCACGGCGTCGGAGGTCGGTAGAGAGCGGCTCCAGCAGAAATGTCGAGAGGAGCGAGAAGCCGAGATGGGCGAGAAGGCCCGCCCAGTTCATCTGCAGTGGGAGCGGAGACGATCGCATCGCATCTCGAGCGCTTCGCTGTCTTGGGGCGGTGCGAGATGCGAGATCGCGAAGATGCCCGCCCTTCTCGTTTCGTGCGTTGGGAACCCCGCGAGGCGCGAAGGTGGGTGACCCAGATGTCGAGGGCGACGAAAGCCGAGCAGCAAAGGGGTCACTAACTGTTGAGAGAACGCTGCATGACTTGTGGCGTCTTCGGGGTCGCATCTTCTAGGCCTATTTGCATTGACCGCCGCCGTGGACCAGCTTGCTGCGGGCTGCGGGAGCCCCTTGAGGACGGAGAACCATCAGACTGGAAAACTCTAACTAGATATCCAATGGCTGTCAAATCAACCGGGGATCATCACGCATCGAAGCAAACACATGCTCCATTTTTTTGTGAACAGGCAAATACGCTGAACAGCGCAGGTAGGCATAGTAGTCGCATCTGATACCAGTGGTCCAGGATTATTCGCACTATCACTCGAACCGAAAACCAGAGACCACCGCCGCCACCGAGAACGCCCGATGGGTTCTCGGTGGCGGTAGTCTACGTTTCTCCTTGGAATTGGGCAGGATCATGATGCATGGGTCGTAACATGCAGGCGTGGCTGTCGCTGCACTTGCCATGCGGCTCAGCGCCACTCTTTCCCCCTCTCTTTCCCTCTTGCCCTTCCCCTTACCCTGCGTTTCCCCCTCCATTTCCCCCTCCTCTCTTCTTGGTGCCCCGTTCCCTCCCTCCTGCATTCTAGGCCCCTCACCCTACATCTCTTAGTACTCGCCCGTCATTTCTCCTCTTTTCTCCTCTTCTTTATCCTCATCCTCCTCCACTCCCTCCATCTCCTCTTCCCTCCTCTTTCTTGTTGTCATCCCCCTCCCTCCCTCCCACCCTCCCTTTCCTCTTTCCTCCTTGTCCTCCTCCGCCTCCTCCTCGTGCTGCTTCCTTTGCCCTCCCTCCTTCTCCGTCGCCACGAGACTTTCCAGTGCCGGATGGTGTATGACTTCTGTCGCAGGGCCCGCCGTTACCAAGTTTGTCCGCTCCCCTCCCATTGTTTTTTGCGTTGCGCAAGCCACAGGGCCAAGAGCGAGGTGCAGCGGCACCTCGCCGCGCGGACTGCCACCGGCGCCCCAGCGGGGGCAGGCAGAAAAGGGGTGGGAGGGTGGGACAAGCGGTCCCCCCTGATCCCAAACTGCTGCAGCTGCACAGGGAAGGGGGGAGAGAAGCAGAGGGCTGGAAGACAGCACATGCATGGTGCAAGCAGTGCTAACTTTGCTTCACCTTCGTGAAAGCAGCGATGGCCCGCTCCCCTCCCATTATTTTTGCAATTCGCAAGCCACAGTGCCAAGAGCGAGGTGCAGCGGCACCTCGCCGCGCGGACTGCCACCAGCGCCCAAGGCCAATGCGAAAGAAGCTGTCGGTGGCAAGGACACGCGAAACACAATCCAATTCTCCGGGCCACTGTCGTCTATGACGCCCTGCGCGAGCAGGCCAGCTGCAACCTCATCGCCCGACACATAAGGCCGAACGGAGGCCAGGGAGCGCCACCCACCACGGAACAGCACGGCCTCAACGCCAGACGCTGCAGATACATCCCCGGCACCCCTACGACGGCCAGGTGTTCGCGGAACTCGTGAGTCCACAACGCAAGCGTGAAGCCGCCCAGCGGCGGATTAGCGCTCGCCTGGGTCTGCTCGCCCAGCGACGGCAGCCACGTGTGCAGAAAGAGCGCCTCATCCGTGTTGCAAAGGCAAAAGGCAAACGCGGTGCAAAAGTTCTGGCGCTGCTCGCGCCGAATAAGACCGTACAGGAAACGATTACCTGCAACCTGTAGCAGTCCCCGCCGATACTTCCGACGGCATACGCAACAGGACGTTGTACTGAACTGCAGCTATGAGGCACCACCACAACCGGCCTTGCGAGAAGGCGTGCCGCAGCAAGGCCTTTAGCAGCGCTTTGTCCACGCGCTGCCTTGGCAGGCGGTGCGCCCTGCCCTTCACGGTGCCCAGCCGGACCCCGCGCAGGATGGCGTCGTGGTCGCCATGCCAGGGCACGCCTGCCACCTGGTGCGCCATGGCCCAAGAACTCAGCCACCGGCACTGCGTGGCGACATACGCGCACACGGCGGCGATTCTACGTAAGTGCTGCACACTGCACCCCAGCGGGGGCTCGCCTAAGAGCTCAGACGCCCAGGCAATCATGCGCAACTGCGATGCGTACATCGAGAGCGTCGACGGCACCGTCGCGAAGCAGATCGGCACCCTGAGCGCGGGCCTCGACCATGGCCTGCAGCACCTCGCGCGGAGGCGCGCCATTTGGGTGCCTTGCAGAGCACCCTCTGTCCCGGCTCAGCGCTGTCATCATGTCGGCATTCTCTCTGCCCACAGCCCGGCGGAAACTGTCCAGCACGTTCCAGTACGTGCACCAAGCCTCGGCGGGGCCACGCGCGCACGCGGCGCCGCCAAGGTTGGCCTGCACTCCGCGGGGATAGGCGCCGGCAGTGTGCGGGCAGCCGTGCGCGCTGCCACTGGCGCCTGGCGAAGCGGCGCCTGTGTGCCCGGCGGGGCCGCCCCCGGCGCCGCCAGTGACCCAGCGAGGCCCGGGGCGACCGGCGAAGGAGCCTGCGGGGCTGATGCGCCTTGCGGTGCGCCACGAGAGACCAGAGCGGCAGCGGCCTGGGACGCCACGCGGGCAGCTGGCTTTAGCCGGGTTCGCTGGACCCCCGGCGGGGAGCGCAGCGGCGCGCACCGATGGAGGCGCGGACCCATGCGCCGCAAAAAGCAGGCGGACGACCGCGCTGACGAGCACGAGCCAATACGACGGTGGCCCTGGATTCGTTCCCTGGCTGAGGGGGAAGGGAGGGGGCAGGAGGCCGATGGGAACGATGGCGGTGACCGCGACCCCGACGAAGATGAAGATGACACCGGCGCTGGCCGCGGCAGTTGCCCACTCTGCCCTGGTCCGGAATCCTGCGCCTTGGAGGAGGAAGAGGAGTAGTTAGCAGGAGGATGAGGAGGAGGAGGAGGAGGGGGAGGAGGAGGAGGAGGAGGAGGAGGGGGAGGGGGGAGGAGGAGAGGAGGAGGAGGAGGAAGGAGGAGGAGGGAGAGGAGGAGGAGGAGGAGGGGGGAGGAGGGAGGAGGAGGAGGAGGAGGGAGGAGGGAGGAGGAGGAGGAGGAGGAGGAGGAGGAGGAGGAGGAGGAGGAGGAGGAGGAGGAGGAGGAGGAGGAGGAGGAAAGAGCGGCCGCAGCAGCAGCAGGAAAGGAAAAGTGGAGGAGGCGGCGGCGGCAGCAAGAGGCGGCAGCAACAGCAGGACCAGCAACCGCAGCGGCGGCGGCAGGAGCAGGAACGCCAGTTTTCCTCCAGCTAAGAGATGTGGTACCTGGACAGGTCCACGGACAAGGTTTGACGACCTTGGCCCCGAGCTGGGCGAGGGTGACCTCGTCTTCCTCCCGGGACACTGCGTCCAGAGGGTTGAAATCGGATTGCACGTATTCGAGCCAACATCGGATGTCGTGCTGGCACAGTAGCCCGTGCACCGCGCCCACTACGCAGGCCACGTGCGGTGACCAGCTGTACCCGCGAACGCACCCAGCGAGCGCTGCTGAGTTGTCGCCAAAAGAGTAAAGGCAACGCGAACGAATTTGATCGCCCCATACCTCCAAAGTTTTTGCGATCCACCATGCCTCGGCGCCATGAACAGCATGCTGGCGGCAGAGCCCAAGTTGATCGAGCACCTGGCCTGGCAGCACAACCGAAAAGCCCTCCCGGAGCTCTGGGGCTGTCCCAGGGAGAACCAGCATGGCTGCGGCCCGCTGAGAGGACAGCGCAGCGTCGTCGTAAAGTATGGCAACGGGCGCCGCCGGCGAGGCCAAAGGCGGAGAGCGCGGCCGCGCGCCGCGCAGCAGGTGCGCCCACAAGCGGAGGGCGACCTGGGCCTGCGACGGCCACTCCCCCGCGCGCTGGGCGGCCTCGACGTGTCCGAGAGCGTCGATCAGCGGCCGGCGTGCGTGCGCGCCCGCCTTACCCTGCAGCCCCCGCGAAGCGAATACGAGCCTGCCGATGCACGAGGACGCCTGCCCCGCCTGCGGGTGGGACCGCGCCGGTTCCTCGCACCCCCGAGCAAGCGGCTCGCGCCAGCAACTGCGGCTGCCGACTTCGGGGCCCTCCTTGCGGGGGGTGAAGCCCAAGCCCAAGAGGGGGAGCTGCGTCCCGTGCTGGCTCTTTGCCTCCTTCACATCGTACTCCAGGACCTTGAGCGCCTCCCGGAGAACGAATCGAGCGGACGACGCTGACCAAGGCGGCCCCCAAGTCCGAAAATCATAAACCTAGTTATCTACAGTGATGAAAACCACCGGCACAAGACGTCACGGAGACACCGAAGCACGACGTTAGAATTCGTGACAGCACCTCCAGTGCCAAAGTTTTGCGACAGCAGCTCCCTTCCGACGACTTCGCGCCGCTGTGGGTCCCAGAAAAGCTGAACGACGCTCACCGGGGTGAGGCAGCGGCCTACCTTACCTGGTGATATCATCCTTACTGCGCGCAGGCGGCTCCCCGAAGGCCAATTGCGAGGCCACCATCCGTGCGAGGATGACCTCGCTGTCCGAGCAGACGATCCGCTCCGCGGGAGACCACGCGAGATTGAAACATCACCCGCCCGGGGAGTCTGAAACGTCAGCGCACGCCCGGATCTCCCAGGATCAGCTCGGCACAGCGGTGTCCTCTTCATCCGACCACTTACTCGGCCATACGGCGAATTTGCGGCAGAATACTACGTTGTCCCCTCCGCTGGGGCCAGAAGTAAAGGACTCGAGCGGCCTGGCGGGCCCTAGGGAGCCTGATTGTTCGGCCTCTGCGCCTTGCGCCCACAACTCGGCGGCGTGCGGGTGGCTCCGCCGGACCCGTTGGACGAGCTCCTCGTTGCGGCTGCGGCTCTCCTCCAGCAGCCCGCTAACCGACCAGGCGGGCAGAGTCGCCTCCACTTTCGAGAAAATGCTGGACTCTTCGGCAACCCCGGTGTCGCGGAGCCCCTGGTGGAGGCACTGCAGAAAGATGCAGCAGGAGAGTCGAGGAGGCGGAGGAGGGCTTACGCGCAAAGTGGGCAACGGCCGGGTCAACTTTTTTACTAAGCTGAACCGGCTCGCCGTGGAATTCGCGTTTCCACACTTTCAGCAGGGCCAACCTCCTCAAGTGGATGCCGTTCACAGCACTGCCAGACCGAATTTGGCCGCCAATGGCGAAGGCCGTACCTTCCGCCACGGCTGGCGGCTGGTTTAAAGGGTGGGCGCCGTGCCGCGCAACTCTGAGCGCAGCGTCCAAATGCTCGCTGGGACTGAGGCCCCGCGACTGCACGGTATCATACAAGTGGCGGGGCTGCACGGCGACTGCGGGGTCGCCCCGCCAACCGCGAACCACGGAAAAGGCGACGCCCCCGCCAGACAAGGCGTGCCCAGGGGCTGCCGGCACGAGAGCCAGCAAGTCTGCGTTCGAGCCTAAAATCCTGAAGCTCATCGCGCCCAGCGGGGCGCAAGGAGCCGGGGGCGAGGAGGCGAGGGCGGGGGGGGAGGCCCAGGGGGGCGGAGGGGAGGGCGGGGCCTGGTCACTATTCAACTCTACATGCAACGCCGGGCGCGCGCACAAAGAATCACTCGCGAGCTGGCACCGGCCACCCAGTCCACCTCCCAGCGGGGCGCCCAGAGCAGGGGGCGGGCAGGCAGGAGAGGAAGCAAGGGGAGGGGGAGGAGAGGGGGGAGAGGAGGCCAGAGAGGCGGGCGAGACCTGGTCTGCGGTCAACTGCAGCTAATTAGGCCCCGATACAAAGAATCACTAGCGATCAGGTCGCTGTCGCTGGGTCAGCGGCCCAGCGCTGCGCGGCAGCGGCCGCGCTCTCACTGCCACGTGTCAAGGCTGGCCTCTCGCCCGCGGCCCAGAGGCCTGGCCGGGGGGCCTCCCCGCGCCCTCGGCGGAGGGGTGCAGGAGCGCTCGCGGCGCTGGTCTGGTTGGTCGCGGCCCCGGTTGCCCGCGTCCTTGCGTGCGAGCTCCCTGCCGTTGGACTCCAGGTGCACCAGGAAGCACCGCATGGAGCCTGGGCCCACCGTGGGGCAAAACGGGCACCCGTGGCGGTACGAGCACCTGTTGCCGCTCGTGCATTTCCCGAGGAGGAACCGCTGGCAACGAAAGGGGCCGGTCTACTGCCCCGGCTGGCCCAGCCCCGGCGGGCCCGCGCTCCGTGCCGACCTCGTTCTGGCACCGCGTCAGGAGGGACCAATCCATGTCCCCGAGGACCCGCGGGAGACGTTCTCGCGCCCCTCGGCGTCCGTGCTCCCGCGCTTGCTGGCCGTGTACGCCTCCCGGAGGAGCCGCGTGGCGTATAGAACGCCGCCGCCCTCTCGGCCTGCGCCGCCGGGACGGCGTTGTCCGCTGCTGCCGCGGCAGCCTGGCCCACCCAGTTCAGGGCGTCGCCCCAGGAGGCGCGGCCCTGAAGGGCAGCGGCCCAGATGCGCGGCATCTCCTGGCATAGGGTCTGCGCCTCTGATCCCAAACTGCTGCAGCTGCACAGGGAAGGGGGGAGAGAAGCAGAGGGCTGGAAGACAGCATATATGCATGGGGCAAGCAGTGCTAATTTTGCTTCACCTTCGTGAATCAGCGGCTGTCGTGGGATCGGCCCCCCCCCCCCCCTTGTCCCGCCCTTCGTCCCTCCGATTTCCTCCTCTTTCCTCCCCCTCACCGCCCGTTCCCCCCCATTCGCTTCGCCACCCAAGCTGCTGGACCAGGAATGGCCCGATGCGGAGATTCAATGGCTCGATGCGGAGATCCCCATAATATCTGCATGTCTTGGCCTCGCACCTGCCGCCGTCCGCGTCGAAGTGGGAGAGCCTTCGCCTGTGACGACCAGTCGCTCCCCGGCGACGCCCCATCCCCCATCGGAGCGCACGGATGCGATGCCTGCTACATCGGGATCACATGGGGGCCCTCACAGGAGAGAAGTCGGGGGGGGGGCAACGCCAGCGTGTCCCTTGAGACGTCCCCATGTGCAACGCCCCTTGGCGGCTGCTCCTTGTGGTGCCAACGTGGCACACCTACGTCACAGGGCTATCACATCAGATTTGTAGTGGACACAACGCGCGCCTCCCCGAGACATTTCAACACTTGGGCGCGAACGGGGAAGCGTCCCCCTCCATGGCGGTTCCTGCTTGAGTTGCTTGCTTGCCACGCTTGGTGCATCGCGGTGCGCCTGGGGCTCTGAAAAGAAAGCATTCGGAAGTGCAAACCAGGCGCCTCGCTCGAGGCCTCCCCACAACTGGGCGTGAACGGGGAAGTGGCCCCCCTCCCTGGCGGTTCGAGGAGGAGGAGGAAGGGGGGCGGGGAGAGGGGGGAGGAGGGGGAGGAGGAGGGGGGCGAGGAGGAGGAGAAGGAAGAGGAGAAGGAGGAGGAGGAGGAGGAGGAAGGGGAGGAGGAGGAGGCGGAGGAGGAGGAAGAGGAGGAGGAGGAGGCGGAGACGAGGAGGAGAGGGCGGGGAGTGCTGTACTGCCACGCCTCCTGCATGGCGTTGATCACGAGGGGTCGGGGCCGTCGAACGAGATCACCGCTCGAGCCACCCCAAGAAGCGGCGCCCGAGCGTGAGAGCGTCCCCTCCACGGCTGCTCCGTGGGGTGCCCGCGTGCCACGCCTGCGTCATCAGGGTGATGATGAGGCTCACCGCCCACCAAACCACCCCAACCCAACCCGAAGGCCTCAAATTGACCTCCATTTCCAGTGTGGGGGGGGTCGGGGAACGTCGAAAAAACACGCATGGAACCCATACCCCCCCCAACCCGAAATTGGGGTCTTCGGGTTGGGTTGGGGTGGTCTGGTAGGTAGTCAGAGGCTTTCAGGAAAAAAGGCAGGGACCGAGCACAACGCTGTTCCCAGCTTGGTTCAGCTTGGTCTTGGCCCCCTATGCTGTGTTTCGTCTCGTTTGTCGTTAGTGTTCCGTTGTGCTACGTTTCGGCCCGTTGTGATCGTTTTCGTTTGGCACCAATTTCGTTCGAAACGTTAAGCTTCGCTTCGCTGTTCGTTCTAAACGCCAACGCGTTTTAAACATCGTTGTCCTCGGTCGTTGAAAAAGGAGGAGTCGGAGGGTCAGAACGAGTGCTGCATTCGAGACATCCCCACAATTCGGGCGCACGCGGACAAGTGCCCCCTCCTTGGCGGCTCCTCCTTTGGGTACCGAAGTGCCACGCCTGCCACGTCAATGTGATCATAAAGGGTGCCCCCCAACCAAACAAAAACGTCGGAGGGGCAGAACGAGCGCTTCGATCGAGACACCCCCACACACTTGGCGCGAACGAGCCAATATCCTACCCCCTGGCGGCGCCTCCGTGGGGCGCCCAAGTGTTTTGCCTGCTACATCGCGACGATCACGAGCGAGCAGTATGAGCAGGTCCAGGCATGAGTGGCAAAGGATGGGTGAGTCTGACTGCGAATCTGAGTATGAGCGAGTCTGATGTGGATGATCAAGTGTGAGCGGTCTGCGTGTATAAATACGATTAGTTGAGTTTATATGTGGACGTGAGAATGAGTGGTGTGATTTTGAGTGAGTCTAGGTAGGAATGAGTCTGAGTACCATTGGATCTGAGTGTGTGTGTGGTCTGAGTACGAATCGTCTGGATCTGAGTGCGTCTGAGTGCGAGTCAGTCGGCGGGTGAGTGAGTTTGGGTTTGAGTAAGTCTGTCAGTGAGTATGAATATTAGCGGGTGTCACACTAATAACGAGAACCCCGTACGTAGGACATGAGGAACAATTCCCTCCGCATTCTTCCCCTCTCCGCCTCCGCCCCCTTTCTCCTCCCTCTCTCCGCGTCCTCCCCCCCATACGTAGGGGTAAACTCCCTCCTCCTCCTCCTCCTCCTCCTCCTCCTCCTCTTCCTCCTCCTCCTCCTCCTCCTCCTCCTCCTCCTCCTCCTCATCCTCCTCCTCCCCCCCTCCTCCTCCTCCTCCTCCTCCTCCTCCTCCTCCTCCTCCTCCTCCTCCTCCTCCTCCTCCTCCTCCTCCTCCTCTCTCCTCCTCCTCCTCCTCCTCCTCCTCCTCCTCCTCCTCCTCCTCCTCCTCCTCCTCCTCCTCCCCCTCCTCTCACTGTCCGCCTACCCACCCCGCCTCGTGCCCTGCGGTCTTTGGGCCCCTGCCGCCCCACCAGGTGGCATCCCTGCAGGGGGCCTGCGGGGGGCCCCCGCGGCGCGGGGCTCTCCTTCGTCTTGATGTCTGCCCCCTGCGGGATTCCCCCTCAGGCAGGGGCTTTGCCGAGGCTCTCCCGCCGCTGCCCCGCGGGAGAAGTTTGAGGCACCCTCGGTCTCCTGGAGCTCTGGCTCGCGCCTCCTCCGATTCGTCCTCCTGACGTCCCTAGAGGCCGCTCCCTTCTTTGTCGATGCGTGGACCCCAGAGGTCCGGACCACTTCCCCAGGGCCGGTTCCTCGTCCTGGGTGGTTTGCTGACGCTCCCAAGGCCCGGCGAGGGCACCTGGAGGCCGAGCACGGCCCAAATCCTGCCGCTCCAACATGTGGGGGGCGTCGGATCTCTGGGTCCTTCCCTCTGCCCCTCCTCCCCGCGTCCCCCCCCCCCTCCTCCCCCGTCCTTCCCGCCCTGGCCAGGTTGGGGGCGAGGGTGCCGAAACGCGCCCAGAGTCCAGCAAGGCATGAGGGCGCAAACCTGACTTGTCTGGCTGATGCTCTGGGGCTTGGGGGCCTGTGCTCAGGGGAGGAGGCTGCAGCGCCGCTCAACGAGGTGTTGTTGAACCGAACCTGCCGGGTGGACCCCTTCTCTCTGCTCGGTTCCAGCGGGGCCCCTTCGGGCACGCGCGCGCCCGAAGGGGCGCCATGCTCCAGTCGGTTCCATGCTCCCTTCTGGCAGCGCGTGGAGGAGGAGGAGGAGGAGGAGGAGGAGGAGGAGGAGGAGGAGGAGGAGGAGGAGGATGAGCAGGAGGAGGAGGAGGA